TAGGTTTAAAACAGTCCTCTTTAGTTTAGCATATGGCTAGGAAGGTAAGACTCAGGGAAGGCTAAACTCCTCAGACTGTCAGTCAAGCTGCATAGGGAGTCAGTTTGCTGGGAGAAGTATGGTAACTTGAGCACTATCCTCTCCTCCTTCCTACTTTATCTGTTTAGCATTTTTAGGATTTTGACTGTAGTTTGTTCATTGCTATTCACCCGTTGTCCCATTGTCTGTTTCATGGTACGATGACGGGATCTCTGAGCCTGGCCTCCTCCATCTACACCTGCGGACTGCCCCGCCCGACCCGCCTGGGAGTGCTTCAGTCCTGCACCGGACCTGTCCACGTTCAGCGGCCACTGGTCCACGTTCTGTAGCTAGCTTAGGTCCTAGATCATTAGCCTGTCCGTCCGGGGGAGCGGATCCCTTTCTCAAATGGGTCTCCCTCCCTGTGGGTTTCCCTAGTTCTTGCCAAGGTTTCTCACTTTTTCCCACTGGGTTTTTTAAGAGTTTTTCCTTGTCGATGCAGGAGGGTCTTGTTGGACAGTTAGTGTCCAACAGAAAGGATTGGTGATGATCAGGACACTTTAGCATTCTACAACATGTATGGACATTTTCTTCTGTGTGTGCTTTATATTCTTCATGTGTTTTAACTGTTGATTCTCTGACCTGTGTTGGTGATTTCAATGGTTTTGTTAAGTCCTCTGAGATGACTTCTGTTGTGACCTAGGGCTATACAAGAATAAATTGTATTGTATTGTATTGTACCGGTCGGTAACTCCAGGTTCTTTGAGACAGATTGGTAGCAGGCAGTTCTACCAACAACTGCAGAGGAATGTGGTAAGATTTTCTTCGTTTAGACTCGCCAGATAGATCTTCCACTGTACAGGCACTTTCTAAATACCGGTGGGCTGATCGAGCCGGCAGTTTATAAACAAACAGATTTAAACATTAAGAAATTGAAACATTGATGATACATGCTATAAACAGGGGCGTATATAGGTTCCAGTGTACTGGATATGGCCCCATCGCTTTGGAGAAGCTAGAAAAATACTTTGTCTGTGGCGTAGCCTAGCTACCATATCACCATCCAACATCGTGCCTTAGGCCTACCTTGTGAGAAATCCAAATCCAAAATATTTTTGTCAATCTATTTGGCATATAAAATGCAATAATTAGCCTAAAATTCCTTTGCAGGCACACCCCTCAAAAAGTTTCGGGCCATGCCACTGATGACAACAATGACTATACATTAAATCATTATTATACCCAATTATACATTACTGTAATAATCATTGACTGACTGACCATGCTGACCATGCCACACCCATGCTGATCATGCCACGCCCATGCTGACCATGCCATGCAGTCAGTCATTGTTCATTGCACATCATGTTGCAGGAAACCGGAGCACCTGGAGGAAACCCAGGTTGCCTCTTGCAAACGGAGACTGCCCTCTTTGTTGACAAACACACCGACTCACTGACATCATGACCAAGAAATCCGGCGCTCTGATTGGTTACTATGTAAAATTGCTAATTACATAGTACTTTACATGACAAAAAGTTCAAATTTCAGGTGGCGCTTGCAAGGATTCTTTGTGTGGAAACTTCAGATTGTGTTCATATTGTTATAAGCTTTCAAAACATTGAAAAGCACCATTACCCATGATACTGGAACGGAAGTTAATATTATTCAATCTAGCACGCGGCCTATTAGGTCACGAATCACTTCACCAGTTATTACTGCATTATTACATATAAATCCATCTGATATTCTGTCATTTACTAGTCACTTTACCTGCTGATATTTTTACTATTTTTAATTCTGCTCATATTCTCTGCTGCAAAAGTACAATATACAGCTTGCTCAAACAAATTTATGTGTGCAATCTGAGTGCTCTTATTTCCTTTCTCTGCTGTAATGCGCAACGATGGACACTGAAATTTCCCCACTGTGGGACGAACAAAGGAAAATCTTATCTTATAATGTTTACTCAGGAGGGTGAATATGTATGATAACGCCAACACTTTGTGGTGGTGGTTGAATAAAGAATTTATAACAAATAACTGTGTGGTCTTTTGAAATCATAATGCAATAGACTATGACAGTCACCTCTTGCAGGACACTCTGTGGCAGGCTTATTCACCCTGGCTGTGTGAAGGAGAGGTTCCACAGGTCTTCCTGTTGCTGTCAGACTGTACAATAAGTAAGTAAGTAGTAAGTAAGTAAGGTTTACTTGTATACCGCCTTTCACAGACCAGAGTCATTAAGTGGTTTACAATGGTTATTTTTTGGGCAATTGTCCTCTCACTCCACGAAGAGATGGGAGCGGGGTAGCCAGTACAGGAGGCGCATGCCAGACCTATTGTACATGTTTTTAGTGGTAGGGGAAACCGGAGGAAACCTACGCAGACACGGGGAGAACATGCAAACTCCACTCAGAAAGGCCCTGTTCCGACCAGGATTCGAACCCAGGACCTTCTTGCTGAGAAGCGAGTGCGCGATCCACCCAGCCACCATAATTAGAACTGCTGAGCCTGTACATATAGATTCAAGATTCAATTAAGTATTGTCATTGTCACAAAAACAAGGTGTGACGGCCCCCTCTGCTGGTGCTGTGGTGGCGGTGTCGTAAGATTATTCTACTGGCCGGGAGGTCACGTGAGGCCCCCCGGATGCTTTAAAAAGCGGCTTCCTCTCAAGCTCTCACTCTCTCTCACCTGGCTTCTGAGCACCTGCCGGCGTGCGCGGACTGCCGCCACCAGCTTGGGTCCTGATTCGCCAGCCATAACGCAACGCTGTTCTACATTTATACTTACACTACAACACGACATTTGCACTACACAAGGTTATCTTACTGACTTTCATATGTAACACCCTGCACCCACACAGTATACAATTCACCTACACTTGCAACAGCAAGAGCAGATTATGTGGTGTTATACTGTAACATAGCATAAATGCTCCCCAACTCACACTAAGTTCGATGGAAACTACTTCTCTTTATTATGTGACAAAAAAATAGTGTACTGAAAATATTGTCATTAGATTATCCCAATAGAAATAGAAATTATGGATGTGAAGGCTGTGCAGTATTTTAGCTTGAATTTCGAAAACAATACTCTGTAGTGTGATCTTCTGCTGGCAAGTGATTTTAAATATAGAAAAAAATAACTGATTTGCAGATTTATCTTTTAATAAATCCTTTTAGATCTATGTTGAGATTCAATTATCAAATACACATTTACAATAAAAATCCATCTCATTTGTATATTTTTAATAGCTATAAAGACCTACTCTTCAGGCATCACATTTATATGGTGTTTTTATATCAGTGCACTGGCTCTTGTTTTATCAAGAGATCATCTTACACAAGCTGCTGTTTACCCCAGACATGGCAGCCAAGAATGTGAGGCGTGAACATTAAGCCAGCATGTTCATTCGTTTTTTTGTGAGGGCTGTCACTGGTGCCACAAGTTCAGCCTTCTTTAAACTTGGGCTTTGATGTGTTGGTGCAAACTGGTGTGCTGGAGGCAGAATGTTTAGACGTCTTTGCATGTTTAGACACCCCAGTGTGAACAAGCCCAAGATGTATTTGAAAAAAATTACTTTTGCAATGGGGCAAGAGAATCAATCCCAATGCTTACCTGGTTAATCACAGGCTAAGGAAATCAAAAATGTGAAAAGGCTGCAGTAATCTTGAGAGTTCTGCTTAATATTTTGTCTTTTTTTTTTTTTATATTGATGATAAAAATGATACGTAAGCACTTGCCGCTGCTTAGCTGAGCCGCTAAGTACGAGTGACAAGAGTAAAGCCTAGTGTATACTTTCACGGCATACGTTCGCGGTTCCGGTGGACCTCCGTAAGCACAATTTAATTTATACTCCTTGCGGAGTTTTGAGGAGAATGTTGTAATCGCACAACCAACCACACGATGGCGATCTCACAGGAGTTGCTTGAGATACCAAAGCGGTCTCATTTACGCTGCTACTTTCTCCTCTTCAGAACAAAAACAAAGCTGTTTGAGATCATTACATGTGTTTCTACTGTAGGTTTATGTGAAAGTTCTATGGAATCATTGTTTCTTAACTCATTTAACTGTGATGTTGTGAATAAAGACACAGTTCTTGTTGGAAACATAGTTATTATTAAATTGTATTCATCACAAACAGCAAAACAATAAAAGTGGTAAATATCTGAGGCAAACATGAACAATTTATAAGTGCAGGAGGAATGGAACAGACACGATAAGCTACGAGTGCAGATTCAGACAAAGACAGGAACAGTGCAAAAGTAACAACTGCACAGTTTATAAGTTATATATATGTTAGATATAAGTTAGATATAAGTTAGATATGTAACAGAACTCAGGCTCTGCCATGAGCCCAAACTACTTTTCCTTTGGTTTCTTCGAAGCGTGAAGCAGTCTGCTCCATAGTGCCTCGTCCATGTTCCTGCAGCCGCTCCGTGCTTCCTTCCAAAACACACACACGGACCAATCACAGCGGAGCTTCCTTGCGGCAACCCTTACGTAGTTAGAACATTTTGATGCTGCGCGGCAGGCAACGTAAGGGCCTTGCGGTGACCAACGCGTTGCGCAAGTGACGTCACGTCACCTCCGTAAGCTCCGCGCCGTGCGAGTGTACACTAGGCTTAAAGCAGACCGTACATTGAGTAAGAAAAAATTGTCACAAAGGTGGATCCAAAACAAACACGTACAACACCAGCAACTTCATCAAACATCTGAAAACTCACCACCACACAGAATATAACACCTTTAAAAGCACTGGAGCACAAAAACATCCAACTCTACAACATAGCATTTGTGGAATATGACAGTGGCTCTTATTGTTGACTGTTAAACAATTGCTACAATGTATAATTGTTAAAGCCATTTCTTATTGTTGAAATGAGAAATTAAAACGTTTTAAATTTCAGTTGAACTAGTTATACAAATTCCCAGGGATAACACAGTGCAGCATATCAAGTAATATTAGTTTCTTACCCACTGAGACGTGCCGTGACGTGCCAAAGAAAGTGTAAAGCAGAACAGGGTAGAAAGACGAGTAGAGACCATAGACCGGAGGTACTGCAGCCAACAGCGCGTACGCCAGCCCTGAAAGAAAACACCCTTTTAATGATAGGCTTATAACGATTTTCACCACCATATCAACTGGACAACATTTTGATAAACATGACATTTTCAAATTACAAAGGGCATCAGAACCAAGGAGCCAAAGGATTTACAGCTATCTAGTGAAGACACTTTGATGGATGTGCTAAAACGAGTTGGAAATTTGACAAACTAAAGCCTGCCTACTGTCAATGGATGTTGTAATGCTGTACACAAACATTGAACATCATATATCTTCTCAGGCAAGTCGTATATCCAACCCTACCTAGCCTGAGATCTGGGTATGCCAGCTCATATGAAGAAGATGACAAAGTCTGGGATCGTGTCTTTAATTCAGACAGAAGACATGTTTTATTGTCGTTGGTAGAGACAGCACGAACACGAACAAAGATATTACAGACTGCAAGTGATAATATACAGCATGGAGGATTGAACACGTCCAATCAGCTTTCGCCGCGATGCCATGTAGCTTGGCCTTCAGAAATCAAAACATAATAATAATGATAATACATCAAACTTGAATAGTGCTTTTTTGGACACTCAAAGACGCTTCTCATGGGGAATTAAAAAAAACAATAAAAAGGGGTTTACGGAAAAGCTTGTTTGAAAAGATTGGTTTTGAGTACTGATTTAAAGTTTGGTAGTGAGTCAGACTTTCTAATGGGCAGTGGGAGTCAGTTCCAGAGGGTTGGGGCGGCAAAGGCAAAGGCTCTGTCCCCCAAGGTCCGGCGTTTAGTGCGGGTGATGGAGTGAGGAGGTTGGAATCGGCTGAGCGAAGGCGGCGGGTGGGTTGGTGCTGTTGTAGGAGCTCAGTAAGGTAGGGCGGGGCCAGGTTATGGAGGGACTTGTAGGTCAGGAGAAGGAGCTTCTACTGGATGCAGTATTGAACGGGGAGCCAGTGGAGCTGCTGGAGGACAGGGGTGATGTGTTCTCTGGACCGGGTGTGGGTGAGGAGGCGGGCTGCAGAGTTCTTGATGTATTGCAATTTTTGGAGAAGAGTGGTGGGAAGTCCGTAGAGGAGGCCATTGCAGTAGTAGAGTCTGGAGGTGATGAATGCGTGGATGAGGATTTCAGCTGTTGAATGGGTAAGGGTAAATATGTTTGATGTGTGTTTGGTATGAGAGGGTGGAGTCCATTATGATGCTGAGGTTGCGCACAGAGGGTGAGGCGGTGACAATGTGACCATCAATGAGGAGGGTAAAGTTCTGGACAGAGGGCAGGAGAGATGGGGCTGATGATGAGGAGTTCTGTTTTGTTACTGTTGAGTTTGAGAAAGTTATTGTCCATCCAAGTTTTAATGTGGAGATGCAATTAGTGATGGTGGAGAGAATGACCGGGGTGATGGATTTGGTGGAGATGTACAGTTGAGTGTCGACGGCAACAGTGGAAATGGACTACATTTCCACTGTTTGTGGATGATCTGGCCAAGGGGAAGAATGTAGATGGTGAAGAGGAGAGGGCCGAGCACGGAACCTTGGGGAACACCGTGGGTGACGAGGGAAGTGTGGGAGTTGCAATTGTTGACAGAGACGAAGTGGAGACAATCAGAGAGGTAAGAGGTGAACCAGAGGAGTGCTGTGCCAGAAATGCCAATGGATTGCAGACAGTGGAGGAGGATGGAATGGTCTATTGTGTCAAATGCAGCAGAGAGGTCGAGGAGAAGGAGGATGGATAAAGAACCAGAGTCGGCGGCGAGGAGGAGGTCATTTGTAACTTTGAGAAGTGCTATGAAGCACATTCACGTGTGACCATCAGGATCAATAAACAGCAACATGACATCATAACTCAATACTTCAACATCTTCAAAAAAACATTCAAATCTTTCATAAAACCCCTCAACAATCTTCAGTAAAATACCAAACTTCGGGAGAACAGTCTCTCCAACTTTCCGTGTTGATTTCTTCAGGCCTCTTTTCTCGTGTCGAGCCATGAATTCTTCTGTGACACGTTTTAGCTTTATTGTCCAGATTCAGCAATCCAATTCAGTCCAAATTATGTCCAAATTCACAAATCCAATTGTTCTAAATTGTTCCAAATTCTGTCCATGCAAAAGAGGACGATGGTATTGAGCTGGTGGACAGCTTCAAGTACCTGGGTGTTCACATTAACAATAAACTGGACTGGTCCCATAACACTAACGCTCTGTACAAGAAGGGCCAAAGTCACCTCTTCCTTTCTGAGGAGGCTGAGGTCCTTCGGAGTGAGCAGGCCTCTGCTCAGGACCTTTTATGACTCTGTGGTAGCCTCTGCCATGTACTACGCTGCCGTGTGCTGGGCCCCAGGCAGCACAGAGCGGGACAGAAGCAGACTGAACAAGCTGGTCAGGAGGGCCAGCTCCCCTCTGGGCTGCTGACTGGACTCTGGAGGAGGTGTGGGACAGGAGGGTGCTAGTCAAAGCCACCTCCATCATGAACAACACCTCCCACCCATTGCACAGGACTTAAGAGGAGCTGAGGAGTTCCTTCAGTGGAAGACTGAGGCACCCTCAGTGTAAGAAGGAGCGCTACCGCAGGGCCTTTATCCCCACCGCTGTCAGACTGTACAACAAGTCACTTTAAGTCACTGTATTAAGACCGAAAAACCTGCACTACTATTGACACTGTTAAATTGACACTTTTTATTGTACATAATATATTCTGCATTTAACATGTTTGCACATTTCCTCTCTTTTTGCACAATCTTGAGTGTCTCTATCCATGCCAAATGTGACATGTAAATTTCTCCTTTGTGAGATAAATAAAGCATCCATCCATCCATCCATTTGCTTCCGCTTCATCCGTTGCCGGGTCGCGGGGGCAGCAGTCTAAGCAGAGACGCCCAGACTTCCCTATCCACACACACTTCCTCCAGCTCGTCCGGGGGGCCCCAAGGCGTTCCTAGGCCAGCTGAGAGACATAGTCCCTCCAGCGTGTCCTAGGTCTTCCCCGGGGCCTCCTTCCGGTGGGACGTGCCCGGAACACCTCCCCTGGGAGGCGTCCAGGAGGCATCCGGAACAGATGCCCGAGCCACCTCAACTGGTTCCTCTCGACGTGGAGAAGCTCTATTCCGAGCTCCTCCCGTGTGACTGAACTCCTCACCCTATCTCTAAAGGGAGCGCCTAGCCACTCTGCGGAGGAAGCTCATTTCGACCACTTGTATCCGCGATCTCGTTCTTTCGGTCATTACCCAAAGCTCATGACCATAGGTGAGGAAGGGAACGAAGATTGACTGGTAAATCGAAAGCTTCGCCTTTCGGCTCAGCTCCCTCTTTACCACAACGGTCCGATACAGCGACCGCATCACTGCGCACGCTGCACCGATCCGCCTGTCAATCTCACGCTCCATTCTTCCCTCACTCGTGAACAAGACCCCGAGATACTTGAACTCCTCCACTTGAGGAAGGACCTCTCCACCCACCTGCAGAGGGCAAGGCACCTTTTTCCGGTTGAGCACCATGGCCTCGGATTTGGAGGTGCCGATTCTCATCCCAGCCGCTTCACACTCGGCTGCGAACCGCCTCAGTGCATGTTGCAGGTCCTGGTTCGTTGGAGCCAACAGGACAACATCGTCTGCAAACAGCAGAGATGAAACCCTGTGGTCCCCGAACCGGGCCCCCTCCGACTCCTGGAGTGATCCCACGATAATTGGAACACACCCTCCGGTCCCCCTTCTTGTAGAGAGGGACCACCACCCCGGTCTGCCACTCCATTGGCACCGCCCACAATCGCCACACGATGTTGCAGAGACGTGTCAGCCAAGACAGTCCTACAACATCCAAAGACTTTAGATAATCAGGACGGATCTCATCCACACCCGGAGCCTTGCCACCATGGAGGCTGCCAACCACCTTGGTGACCTCAGCCAGGGAGATGGATGTATCCGGCCCAACCTCCTCAGCCTCTGCCTCTGTAACGGAGGACGTGACGGAGGGGATTGAGAAGAGCCTCAAAGTATTCCTTCCACCGCCCGACAATATCCCCAGTCGAGGTCAGCAGCTCTCCACCCGCACCGTACACGGTGTTGGCAAAGAACTGCTTCCCCCTCCTGAGGCGCCGGATGGTTTGCCAGAACCTAATCGAGGCCAACCGATAGTCATGCTCCATGGACTCTCCAAACTCCTCCCAGTCCCGGGTTTTTGCCTCTACAACAGCCCGGACCGCAGCACGCTTGGCCTGCCGGTACTGGACAGCTACCTCAGGAGTCCCCCGAACCATCATGGCTCAATAGGACTCCTTCAGCCTGACGGCATCCCTTACTGCCAGTGTCCACCACCGGGTTCGGGGGTTGCCGCCGGGACCAGCACCAGAGACCTTCTGACCACAGCTACGAGCCGCCGCATCGGCGATTGAGGCAGAGAACATGGTCCACTCGGACTCGATGTCCCCCTCCTCCGCCGGGACCTGGGAGACTCACACCTCCCGGAGGTGTGAGTTGAAAGTCCGTCTGACAGGGGGCTCAGCGAGACGTACCCAGCAGACCATCAGTACGTTTAGGTCTGCCAGGTCTGACTGGCTTCTTCCCCTACCAGCGGATCCAACTCACGACCAGGTGGTGATCGGTTGACAGCTCCGCCCCTCTCTTTACCCGAGTGTCCGAGAAACGCGGTCGAAGGTCAGATGATACGACAACGACTGGACTGCTTCCGGCAACATACAGTGATAAGAGTCGCGTTCACACCATCATCGGGTCACTCTGATGAAGGCGGAAGTGTACCCGCCGAAACATGTCAGGTATGTACGCTAGTTACTAGCTTGGTTTTGCTTTAAATTGTTTTTAGCGAACCTTAAAAGCCATAAACTAGAAGCAGAATGAATTTTCTACTTTTAATACGCAAAATGATTTGGGACGGTGTCTCAAAGCCTTTCCGTCATTCTGGAGAAGATCAAGAAAGACGCCAAAAAAAAATGGGCCCCGCCTGAAACAACCAACTGAGATTCCGCTGAGATGAGAGACCGGAAAAATGTGACTCCAAAGGTCTTAAAATCAAAAACCCCATACACACAAGGAAAACGCGGACAGGATAATCAACAAAGCAATAACGGGATTTTCTATAAG